GTTGGCTATAATGTGGCCTATTCTCATCAACTTGTCAATAGTGAGAATACACTCCCGGCTTGTTTCCCAAGCGAAAAAAATAATCCTCGGTGGTGCATTTGCGTTCCATATCTGGTGAACCGGGAAGTGTAATCCGTTGTCCTCTTTAGATGTCAAATGGTCATATAAAGATTTCACAATAAAAATATCATCTTTTTTGAATTTCCAAGTAGCCTTGTCGCTGCCCTAATCTAAATGAACATCCATAAGAATTTGAAGAAGCCTTGTAAACTCATCAATCTCCCAATCATTTAAATTTCTAACAAAATCAATGTCCCACCCATTTCTTCGATCCCTCTCCCTAAACACCTCCACCTCCACATTCTTTCTCGTCACTAAGCTACAAACGCTTTAATATATGTATATATGTATAATTATTAAAATAATAATAATAATAAAATAAAAAATTCAAAAAAAAAAATAGAAGCTAGATTTTGAACCTTGGGACGAAGTTGATGTTTAAAGTGAGGGTATTGTAGGGGACTAATGGTAAATTAGGAAAATAGAAAAAGATTCGAAAAATCTTGGATCATCATAATAAATTATTGGAGGAAGATCTGGGATCATCATATCCGGCGTTTGCAAATTCTTACTTAAGATAGCCTTTACTTAAACATGTACTCAAGGAAGGATATGAAAAATTGTTGAAATTCGAATACAATCTTTCTCTCACATCTCGCCGATTCTCGGTTGCTGTCTACTTCTCTCTCTCTCTTGGTCTTCTTCCACTCTCTCTATTTCTTCAATAACGGAACCATGTATTAGGTTCGTGATAGTTCTCTAGTTAAAGATCAAGTCACCAGGCAATTTACAAAAAAATCGTCATCCTATAAGGCATTAATACTTTTGTTTTTATTATGAGAGCAACCTATTTTATGGAAATAGATTACTTCTCATCGAAAGTAAATTATTACCTTAGACCTCGTTTGAGAGAGATCTCACCTTGTAGTTTTGAAATAAATTCTGACTTATTTTTATTAATAGCAAGTATACTTTTTTTAAATAGAAATTATAATTCTTATTTATGAATCTTAATCTAATTAAGAATTTAAGTTTAATTATGAGTACTCTATTAAAATATTGAAAATCTTATAATATTTAGAATTTCAATATTAATGAAAAATCATATACTACTTAGGAATTCCATACTAATTAGAATTTCGTATTTACTTGAATTTAAATCTTCTTAGTTGTTACCTTGCCTCTTGCCATGCTTTCCATATTTACGCCATACAAAGACGTTCACAATAATCTGCTGCATAGTGTCTCATGTAACTGTAAAAACTTTGACATCTGCTGCATAGTCTGCATTGCTGCTAAATGCTAATGACACCCTACTCCTATTTGCAAACTTTTTCTGAATCTCGAATTTTTTCTTTACTTCTAACCAGTAGGTTTGAAATCCATGTATTTATCCCAAAACATTAGGAAATAAGTTTTGCAGAATGAACTTTCACATGTGGGATTTGAGTGCGCCCTGCTATCTGTTGTATCATTTCATGTTCACTTCTTTTTGCTGCAGTTTGAAGATTGCACATTTGAATGGCTCTACTGGCCTCAAGCCCGTGAACCATATGCCCCTGAAACTATTGACTACATCAAGTCACTAGATGCAGATCAAGACATTAAACTTCTGAGGTATCATGGTTGGGATCTCCCAGCAGACTGTGCTCGTGTTCTTCATATTTCCACTATGCTTCTGAAGAAAGGTGCAGAGAGGGGATTTACTCCCTTTGCAATAGGAAGCATAATGTGCAGGGAAACAATTTACAAGAGATCTCTCATCGAGGAGATTATTCAAGAAGCAGAAGAAGCTGTTCTCCCAGGAGCAAGCGAAGACACATTCCTCGAATGCTTGTCACTGATCATGGACAATCATCTTGATCAGCTGAGTCCATAACTCCATGAATTAGTTACTCTTAGGCATGCGTCGTGTATGGGTACATGCATAAGCCGTCGTGCACACTATCTACACAAAGCGGGTGATGATTCTCGATTAATCTCTTGGTGGTTTGCAGGTTCTATGTAGTTTGATTTGTAACTAGAACTTGTGTCTCCATCACTGAGATGGCTTTGTTCATAACTGGATTTGGAAATAGAACTTGTGCAGTAACTCTTATATCTTCTCACCCTCTTTTCTTCGTCTCTACTTACAAGCATTTTCCAAAATGATACCATAATTCCCTGCTTTGTAAGTTATTCTTATGCAGGTGAATGGTGGCTTTTGAAAGCGTTTCCATGTTATTTTTTACTCATGGATGGTTATTTTTCTTAGGAGTGACCAGTAAATAACTTTATTCTGGATTCCAAAATCTTCTTTTTGAATTAAAGCAAATCTGTCTTTAAAGAGTTGCATCAGAGTTTTCTAGGGTTTCAGAGTTAAAAAATCCTATGGATTATTTCTGGTTTGGGAGATTTTTTTTCACAATTACCATCTTAACTAGTGTACTCACATCTGACTTACATCTTAATCAGTGTACGCCTCTATTCTGGATTCCAAAATCTTCTTTTTGAATTGAGGCAAATCTGTCTTCAAAGAGTTGCATTAGAGTTGCATTAGACTTAAAATCCCTAGGGATTATTTCTGGTTTGGGAGATTTTGTTCATAATTACCATCTTAATTAGTGTACTTTCCTCTGATTTACATGAGCTGAGAAATCATGTTCGTGATCTGTCACCGAACGGATTATATCAGGGACATGGAAATGGAATAAACTTAAATACAAGCTTTGTGGATCTGAGGCTTCTACGAAGGTTGGTGATAGCCCTTCTTCTTGTCTTCAATATTTATACGGGTAAATTCATTCTATCTTACTTATTTATTGAAGTATATGAGAAGTGGGTATTTAATTATTAAATAAAAGTACAGGTTTTCATAAACAACATATATATATATATATATGTATATGTGAGAAAACCAACTAGTAAGTGTTTGTACTATAGGGCCCTCTTACCCACCCACCGAAAGACAAAAACAGTGACTTATTGTGGTTGGCTTCGTAAATGCAACAATTTGAGGTCTGGTTTACAATTCTAAATATAATTATAATGAGGTTGACAAGCATGTGAAGAGTAGAGGTTAGTGGCAACATTAAAGGACTAACTACAAATGTAGATTATGAGAAATTGACAACACAATACTCACCAGCCTATCTCCCTAACTCCTCACATTTATGCCGAAGGCATTCATTTATTCTATACAAACCATTATATATTATTGTAATTAATGAAACGTAGGTATTTTTATTGAAAAAAGAAAGAAAGAACAAACCATTGTAATTGAGAGGTCTCATTTCAAAATCTTAAATATTGGGAAATTTAGGCATTCACACCCGGCACACTTTATTTTCAAACCTGTCCCTTAGTCCCCTCATACATACATATATATACACACACAGATATATAATGTCTGGTTCAGGGAGGGAAATTCTGAGTGGCCTAGGGTTGGGTTTTGCTGTATTCACAACGATAGGAGTTGACTCTTTGATTGACTTGAAAAGCTACATTAATTCTCTTGTTGCCCCAAAAAAACCCAGAGAGGAGGGGATGAACCAACCAATTTGAAGCAATCAAGTGAACAACTTTTTGACCAAGTTTGCATTTTTAATTACAGTAATCACTTAAAATTCAAGAGTAAAATTCAATTGATATTTCTATTCACTTAGACGGTCAATTTCTAATTTTTTTTAATAAAAAAATGAATATTTATTAACATATAATTATATTTACACCAAGAATTATACAAAAAAATAATAATCATAATACAAAAACGAACAAAACCCAAAAAAAAAAAATAATTTTTATTCTATGCAAATTCTCTATTATTTTAAAAAAAAAAAGAATTAAAAAGGGTATACAAAAAGATAATTATTAAACTTAGATTCATAGTTTTTCTATTAAGAAAAGCTTGAATTATGTGTGTGTGTGTGTGTGTGTATATATATATATATATGTGGTCATTTATCTCAATCATGTAGTTATTGATAAAAGAAAGTTGAGTTGTCTTCTTCAAGATCATGTGGAGAACATGTCCTTAGAAAAATTATTGATTAATAAATAATTTAATTTTCTTGTGGGTGGAAAATTAAATGGCCGTGAACATAATCAATGTCTTGTTTTGATTTATTACAAATGTCCTTTCTTGTGATCATGACTCCATAAAAGAAAAAAAAAAAAAAAAACCAATTTGATTTCAAACAATTTTAGAAATTGATTACTTAATGTTCATAATTAATTATGTTTAATTAAGATTTTAATTATTGCGGTCTAAATTATCTTGAAGTTTTACAATTAGTAATTATGCTATTATAACCAATATAAATTTCAATTTTTTTAAAAAAAAATTGTTTTTTCAATCCCCATTAATTTCATTAAAAGATAAATTATCTTAAAATTATAGCAAAATTTCCATAATTACTTATTTTTATAATAAATTAAATTAAAAAGTAAGATTTGGGTGTCTTATTTTACCCATAATAATAATAACAACATAATATAATAATTATAATAATAATATCAAATATCATCCACTAGTTTTGTATTTTTACACCGAAACACCACCCTTGTCGGTGGTAGGCCATGTCCCATGCACCTCCCTTGACCCCTAAAAGAGTCATTTCACCTCCCACCGACACCATTACTTCATCCATATGCACCCATATAATATATATATATATATATATACGTGTGTGTGTGTGTAAGTATATAATACATGCTTAGGTGTAATATGATTTGATTTGATCATGAGACCGTTAAAGAATAATTATATAAAGACACATGATAAAAGAAGAAGAAGAAGAAGGTGTCACAAAAGTCAATTAATCATTAAGTGACCCTTACATTACAATCTTATTACATATAATTTTCCCAAATGAGAAAATTCAATTAGATCAACAACTATAAATTATGTAGCCTATATATATATATATATATATATATATATAATTACTTTATAGGGAGGATGAACTAGTGGAATTATTATTATTGTTATTATTATTACAAATATTTAATGAGAAAAGAATTAAAATAGAAAATTATATTTCCATAAAGTTACCCACAAAAAAATTAAGAAAAAAACCCTTCCCCTTATTTGGGCTTGGGCCAAACTTTATGAAACTATATAGCATTATGTGTGACGATCTAAACCGAGAGCCCAGCCAAGAAGGCGACGCCGGTAGACGGTAACCACGACGATCCATAGATAAATTGGGCAACCGTGAACCGGCTCGCCTCCACCGTAGACGTGATCACTCGATATCCGGGCCATTTCACTCGTTGTCCAATAGCCGCACCCGGGCCATAATTCATGTATTCTCCGTAGTACAATTTATCGACCGGAGCTGTCGCGTTCCACTCGAGCCATCCTCGAGAGTGGACGTGATCGCCAATGTACGATAACATGTACACCGTTCTTGAAAACGTCTTCCACGGGCGGCCGAGGTATGTCGGGAAATTAGCTTGTGATGCAACAAGTTCCGGCGTGGCAAGTATCCGACTAGCGTGAATCGAAATTCCGGTATTTTGGTTTGGGTCCTTGCGATTTTGGGCCGTAATCGTATTTTTTTGTAAGTCCATGGGTTTACGAGCATAGATGCTACAATTTTGTAATACAACCGCGGCATTACCGAAGATAAAATCTACCGTGCCATATATGGCACATTCGCGGAAAAATTGACGATTGGAGTGGACGTATAGGGTATCCTGGTAACCGATAATGTTGCATCGGTAGACCACCGCATGGTCCGCGCCTACACGGAGGGCGACCGCCTGGTGCTTGGCCGGCCCAGCCCAATTCTCAAAGGTCATGTCCCTTGCTATGAACCCAGCTCCGGTTGCAGCTGATGACAAAAAAGCAGGTTAGAAAAATTTAACCGGGGGGTAAAAATGTAAATTAACAAGTAAGGGCAATTTGGGAAATTCAAAAAAAAAAAAAAGAGAAGAACCCATGAGATAAGATAAGAGTTAACATGAAGGAATCTGGAAAGTGTTTTGCGTCAGATTTTGTGTAGAATATTATTTATGCCACGTGCAACGACTACATCAATCACTATTATATTAAATATTTTTTAATTTAATTAAATTTTGATTCTTACCAAACGACGCCGTGTGGAAAGTAGTGAGATTTTGGAACACGTTTCTGCCACCTGAAATGACGGTTCTACCCTTCCCATCTCCAATGAACATCAGATTCGTCTTCTTCCTTCCCACCTTCAAATTATCCTCCTCGTATCTGTAAAATAATATTTTAATTTTTAATTTAAAGTATATGGTATTATATTTAAACTTATTAAAAGTAAAAAAAAAATACTGTTGACTTTTTGGTGAGTCAAAAAAAGGAAATAGTAAAAAAAAAAAGTGACTTTTCCACGTGAAAAAAAGAAAAATACACATGATTACATTTGATGCATTCGGTGAATTTATTTTCCAAAAAGGAACTCGTGATTTTTTGGAGGGTATTTCCGTCATTTTACTTTTTAAAACACGATTTTTTTTTTCTCTTTTGAATGAAACTTGAAAAAATAAATAAAGAGTTAAAAATGCTAAATAACGTGAATTTACCTTCCTGCCCTTACGTAAATAATCGTCCGGCGGCTGCTGTACTCCGGCGCTTTTTTGATGGCTTCGGCGATCGTTTTATACGTTCCATTGCCGTCCTTAGACACGATGATATCGGCCTGAATCGTCGACGGCGGTAAATCAAGCAGCTCTCGCTCTTTCCGGCTAAGCCATATCGGAAACTCATTGCCATTCTTCTCATGGGATCCCATCAGCCTCCTTTTGTTCTGGATCGGCACGCCGGAAAAATCATCACTGGCGGATGCAGCAAAGATCGCCAGGCAGTTACTCACCAGCTCCGACAAGTCCCTCAGCTGGATCGCCATCTGGGTCTTCACCGACCCGCTGACGTCACTGAACCCATCAGTGCACGTGTCTTGGTTGGTCAGGGCGGCGCTCAGCCACGTCATAACGTCCTGTCCGGACCCCCTGGCGCCCTGAACTCCACTTCCGGCGCCGGCCGAAGGGATAACGGAGGAAAGAGAACGTAAGAGTGCGTCTATGGAATCTTCCAACAGCTCGAGGCAATCCTCGTAGGCGGAGCGAACCCGAGGTTCCATCTGAACATACGAGATGGCGGAGGTGGTGTACAGAGCTTTGCTGAAATGCTGCAGCGTCATGTTGAACGAAATGTGAACCAGGTCCTGCTCGCTGGCCGTCGTCGACCCGGGAAACTGAAGCAGAGAGTCAACGCAGAGAGCTTGGAATCGGGTCTTGCTGCAGGCCCGAGAAATAGCCTGGGTAGGTTTCCGCGTCATGGTTTGACCCGATTGTTGACCCGACGCCTCCGTCTTCATGCCGACTAACACTGTAGCAGAGACCGCCGACGCGATGATCAGAGCCACCGCCAGCAAAGACAGCAGAATCAGCTTCCTCTTCCTGCCATTCCCGGTGGGCCCAGATCGTGTTTCGTACGGCAACGTGGCGCGTTCCGGCGAGAAGCTTCCGGGTTCCGACGGCCCGAGTCTGCCGTACCCCATTTCAGTCTTTTCTATAAGTTTATAGAGAGAGAGTGTGCGTTAAATAGAACAAATGGAGACTTTAAAATACATATAGTGAGAGAGAGAATAAATTGGTGGTTGTGGAGTTTTGATGGGTAGTGAAGGGTGTGAGAATAGAGAGTACAGGTAGAGTGTGCAAGTTTGAGAGAGTGTGTTAAATAGAAAAAAATGGAGACTTCAATATATGTATATATATATATAGAGAGAGACAGAGAGAGAGAGAGAGAGAGTGAATGGTGGGTGTGTAGTTTTGATGTGAGAATAGAGTGTGTAAATTTTGAGAGAGAGAGGGTGTGAGAGAAGAGTGTGAAAGTTTGGTGTGAAGTCGACGTCGAGAGATCAGGGAAGCATTAGCTGGCTTCTACTACTTTCAGAGCCACCACCACTACCACTGTTCTCCAGGACTGACGTGAATTACAAATTTGGTAAACATTTAGTTTCCTAAAAAAAAAAAAAATTAATTAATTTCATTTATTAAAGAAAATTACTTTTAAATTTTATATAAATTATAAATTAATTTTAAAAAAATAAGTACGTCATAATTAATGAATTTGACTAAATAGCCAGCTTGCCTTTTTATAATTTATAATTCTATTAATGTAAAAAATAATGATTTATCATCCAACATAATTATAATTATTTTTTTATCAGTAATATTTTATTTTACCTACACACTACTATATAATATGAAAATGAGTAATGTGTACATTTCCAAAATACATAACCTCTTTGGGTCAACCCTATACTTTGACCGATTAATTTATAGTTCTTTAATTTGAATTTTCTAAAAAAAATAACTAAAAAAAATATAACCTTAGATTAAATATATTTTTATCCAAAAAAATATAATAAACCCTGTAAAAATTATTTTAATTTGATCAATACAGTTCTATTAATACACTATTTAATTTAGTATTCAATTTTATATTCTCGGTAAAATTAAAATTCACAATTTTCAAATATAATAAAATATATTTAAATAATATTACTTTATTGTTAGTTTTTAATTTAAAACTTAAAAAAAAACATAAATATTACGAAATATTCTTTTCATTATAAATATAACACACTTGTTTAAAATTAGTTCAATTTGATTATCGTAAACCTACTAGCATACTATAACGAAACCAATATATTATTTGTCTTAATTTAGAATGTCAACATTTGGAATTTGTTGCTAAGTATTGTTTTCGAATTTAATAGAAGAAGAACCTAACCGTCCTATATTTTTAAGTACAAAATTTTCTTAATTAAGCATAGTGATTAAATTAGGTATATGTGTATTATATTAGTAATTAAGAGAGCTAAATAGAGTACCAATTAAGCACGCCATTTTTTATAAAGTAATTATTACTAAAGTTTGAGTTATTTTCACATCATATTCGAATAAACCCATTTGTTAATTCTTTTTATATAAACAATTTACTATATATATATATATATATATGCATGTATGTATGTATATTTAAACTAATAACCAACAAAACCATCACTTTTAAAATATTAATTGCCAAAATTAATTACTGTTTAATTTACAATGAGTACTATAGACATATATTAAATTCATGCTATTTTTGCCCTTTTTATAAATTTTGGTTAATTAATTAAGCCAATTTAATTAAGATTAAGAACATAAAAATAAAATATAATCATTTTTTTTTTAATAAAGCTCTATAAAATCAATATTCAAGATGAAGAAGAATATATGAATTGTGGTATGTGCAATGTAACATATTGCTTGTATATGTCACGATCAATCATTTGAAATAAATAAATATACTTATAAGTTAGGTCATATACCGTTAAATAACCATCAAGATCAATATTTAAAGATTTATAAAGTATATAACACACATATATATATATATGCATACACACACATACACATATATATATATATTGTATCATGAAGAAAAGGCATAAATAAAGGTCTCGAATCCTTATCATCCCATGAACAAAATGTAAAGGAACATGATTCTTCCATTTATAAAAGCTTTTTGAAGAACCTTGTGTTTTAAGTAATCGATAATTTATTATTAATTAAGATTAAAAAGGTGATTTAATTTAACTTTTGAACTAAATTATTGAAATCATTTTACAACCCACCTTATAATTTTATTAATACACTCTTTAAAATGTGTTAGTTTACTAAAATATTTTAATCACGAACTACAAATTTTTTATTTATGCAAAGTAAATTCAATATAGCCCGTAAATTATTTTATAAGTAGCATTAATAATGTAACTTTTAGTTCCTATATTACTTTACTACTTTTAATATTTTATGTTTAAACATATGCTTAGCATATAAAAGTATAGTTTTTTTTTTTAATACTAATCATACCAATTATTGCTACATAAGTGATTAATTATCTATTATTTAATAACTTCAAAAGCAAAATTTAAAAGAAGATTAGGGAAGAGTATATTCTTAATCAAGAAGTAGAATTTATACCTATAGCTCATAGTATCTTTGTTTTGCTTTCTTGATTTTATTATATGTAAATAATCATAAGCTCAAGCATACTACGATAAACATCATTAATTAGTTGCTTAAACTTATGATTAATTATACGATTTATACATTATTATTAATCTTTTTTTTTTTTGTAATTTTGAAAATTCACTGACATCGACGTAGTATATTTAAGATTTTACTTAGATAATATTATTAATTAGACTACTTTTTATTAGTAATGGTTTAATTCAAATATAAACGGTTTGGGTTTGAGAAAATTTGTGTTTTCATGCAAATAATAATAATAATCCCATAAATTTGATGAATATTACTAAATTAATTACATTTCTATTAAATAATTGACCTAATTTTGTTAAAATAATTATAAAAATTGAAATATGAAAAAATAAAAGATGGAAAAGAAAAAGGCACATAAAAAGGTAATTGAATTCACTAAGTAAACCCAAAAAGACATTCCTTTTTATCAAATAAAATAAAGCCTTAACCTTTTATATATATATATATATATATATTGAACCTTATTTATACTTCTACCAACTTTTTGATGATGCCATGTGATGAAATAATTAAAAAATATATATATAATATACATAAAATAAATTAAGTTGTACAATTTATAATTTATTTATTTTGAAATAAGGTAAGTTATAGTATCTAAAAATAAAATAAATTAAGTATTTGAAATAATTGAATTTTTTTTTCTTAATTTAATCTACAAATGTTAAAATTTAATTATATATAAAATTTTTTTACACGTAACTATATATATATATATTTTAAATATATTTATATATAGTATTATTTATATTTAATATATTAAAAAAATAAAAGATAAATACGTAGTACTTGAAGTGGGCCCAAAAACTTTTAAGTACAATGAGCCCATAGAGTGTGGGTTTTACGTTGTCTTTATACCGTGGACTGGACTGAAAGTGGGGAACGTGTCAACTAATATGACAAACTATAAGTCATGATAATAATTATTGCGAATATATATAATAAAAAATATATACACCCCCCAAAAAAATTATATATATATATATAAATAAATTGTCTCTCTTAACTTAGTATATATTAATTTTTATAAAAAATTATAAATTCAAGTCAAGTTATATTTTTATGTGTATTTTTTTAAATATTATATTTTATTGTATTATTATTAGTGTTTATATATGAATAAATTGATAAATTATAAGTATGGAGGGATTCATAGATCATTTAGACGTAGAGCGCGAAGGGCTTTTAACCCAAATACATTACTCGTAACATAACTTTATTCGAAAATGTTTAAAGGGTAACAAATTGACTTTCTTCTCCAGAAACGGGCTCGATGGCATAGCATCGTCATTTATAACAATCAAAACTAATAAGCCCATCGGTTCATACAATTGTCCATGTACCAGTAGAAGATTTAGTAGTTACTACGGCTCTTGCTTCCTCAGGTGTAACTTCAGGTTGATAATTTACTCGGAATGTTATTAAGATATCAATATTTTTAGTTTGATAGTCGGGAGTATATTAATTTAATTTATAATTTTTAATATCAACTTTAAATTAAATACTTAAATTGAAAAAATAATAATAAATTTATAATTTATATACAATTATTACTATATTATATTAGTCTTTATGGTTATATCTAATAATAGTGATGAAGACAAATAATTGAGGAGACGAGTAGGAAAATGAATGGCTTAGACTATCAACGAGAAAATAAAGCATGTGGCCACTTCCATTATGGTAGGGAACACAAGGCCATAAATTTCCCAAACAACTCACATGAATTGCCAATTGATTTGTGCATATATACCTACATATATACATACACCCATTTTCGTTAATAACAAAATTAGACTGTAAATAAATAAAAAAATTATAAATATTATAAAAATTTAAATATATCTCTTAAATTTGTAAGAATTTAATTTCTTAAAAAAGTAAAATTTAAGTAGTACCATTTTATTTAATATGATTGAAAATACATTATTTTATATTTATTTATATATATATTTTCTACATACCAATTTTTATAATTTTTATTTAATAGAATAAATATAAATGTTAAAAAAATTATGCAAATTTCACTTATTCCAAACATTATGTTATAAAAAACAGTCAAAAAGAGCCGACCACAAAATAATAATAATAATAAAGAATAGTCGCAGTCTAATCTGAGGGTTGCCATCAAAACGGTAAATAGTCACGCGTTTTGGATTTTGTCTCTATTGTCCACTTCTACTTTTTCATGCACGACGAAGTCAAATTTTTCACTGCAGCTGTACCGCTGTCCTGCATATATTTATTTTCTTATGTACCATCTTTTATTTATTTAATTTTATATTAAATCATTTTTTTTAATATTTTTTAAAATATTTAAATTACTCTATTTTTATTAATTAATTGAAAACTGACATGCCCACATAACATAAATGATTAATTTCTTACATTAAATTCTTAGCAGATATTGTCTGATATAATATATTTATGTATATACACACAAACACGTAACCGCCCAATTAATATTAATTATATATAAATATTGTAATATTTTGTCTCAAAATTTAATTTAGAATTAATTTTAAAAAATAAAAAAAATAAATATATAAAAATATAATTTTTAAATTTATAAATTTTTATTTAATGTAAAATTAGAAAAAAAAATAGATGGATAATGAAATAAAAAAAATTAGAAACTGGAGGTCTAAATGTAACTAAAAAAAATTGCGTAATGTAAAAATGCCCTGTCAGCATCTCCGACGAACCGAAGCGCACCGTGTGACAAGACTGACTCGGTGTCACGCGGGAGGTCACTCTGGCAATTCGCGTGCCCGCGATCGAATGGCCCGGATACATTCCCGTGCGCGTGAACGGTCTGGATTCGTTCTCTCCTCAGGCACGATTGGACAGTCGCGATTAAACGCAATAAATGACATAAACAGAGGGATCGTACGATCCATATCAAATCTCAATGAACGGTTCAGATTCATTTCTTCTTTAAATGCAATCGCACGATCAAAATCAAATGCAATGAACGATCCATATTTAAAAGAGACGGGTATAAATATCTCACTCACACCGAATTCAAACCCTAGCCACCAGCCCCCTCGTCGGAGAAGAAAAATCAGTCTAAGAAAAAGGGAGTCGACTGCTGCCCGTCGCTGCGTCAGAGCCACCTCCGACCACCAAAAAAGGTAAAAAAAAAAAAATTGTTCACTCAAAATTTGATTTTGAACACACAAATGGTCAAATCAGAGCAAAAAAAATGGCGGATGAGCTGGAAATTACAGGTAAAGCCTGGCGGTGTCGCCGGGCTTAAAAACAAAAAATTGCCTCTGATGAACCCCTTCCTGTTTCATGTAATTTTTTCACCATTGTGTTCACCGTTTTGTTTTCTACAGGTTGACTGAAGAAAAACGTCTAGCAAAGAAGGTGAGTCGGCGGAGCCGCCGCATTGAAAATTTTTACTGCTGGTAAGTTTTTATTTTTTGATTTTTTCCGACTAACCGAGACCCGCTAACGTATTTTTCTCATAGGGATAAGTATAAAACTGGCTGAAATCGGCCAAAAAAATTGGCCGAAAATGGCCAAGCTAAGGCAAATTACCCCCGCGGGTGGTAGTGTTATCGTCGGAGCACGGCGGTGCCACCGTGCCGAAATTCTAAAATTGGTTAGAAAAAATTTTTAATACTGATTTTGAATTTTTTGGGGGGTATTTCTAGGTACATGAACCGTATTTTAATCTACACAGAAAAATTCAAGAAACCCGAGGACCGCCAGTAAGCATAGTAGAAAGTTCGGGTAAGAATCATTCACTTTATTATCTGTTATGGAATTAAAATTTAATTATCAATAAAATGGTATTTTATGTAATTTAAAAAATTTTGAGAATTAATTACAGATTACTAATGAAGCCAGAACTGGTTATTTATTATTGTTGTCCTGTTTAACCGATTATTTGATTTTACAGCTTTAAATGTACGATATATACTGGAATTGGTAAAATAATTCAGTTGTATTTCCTTGATGCATGTATTACAGTTAAATTGTGAAACTGAAAATTAAATGTAAACAGAAAATTGATTGGTTAAGTGAATGAATGAATGATAGCTTTACTGGATATTATAGGAGATGGTGGACGGACCGAGTATATAGAAAAATCTACCGTGAACGTCGTCTCATACCGGACGGGGTATTGAAGATTGGTATTTTTGGCACTCATACTGGACGGGGTATGAGGATGACCTGTTTTACCTTCATACCGGAT